CTTAATACTACTTAAGAAAAAGAGAAGAAACAGTAAAGGGTATTCAAAAGTAGACGGGGTCAATATTATGGTGCACGTAGAGGGGGTTTTCCAGCCATTGCAGAATCCCCTTTTAAATTATATCAAAGTTAAAAGGTTTTTAAGGTAATTCAAATAATTTACAATGGATGCTGCTTCTTGATGTCTAAAAGTTTTTTAGTTTTTTTTTGCAAAAGCAGCTGGTCCCCTGAGCACTGACCCTGATATCCTGTTTTAGGATGGTTCTTTTCCCTTGCAGGATCCTATGGAGCCACCCTTGTGTGTGCTAGTAAGCTGTGTGTGTGTCTCCACAAACACACAGGCACTCAAGGCAAGCCACTCCCTTTTTCTGTGCTCCCTCCTCCCTTCTCAGTCAGGGGTAGTAGATGGATATCTGCTGAAGACTGCTCTGTCCCTTGTGATCTTATTCTGGACAGGAAGTTCGGGGAAGCTGAGCTGGGAGAGTTGGAGCTGTTTGGAAACATGATGACTGTTAGGGATTGGTCATAAAATGTAAAGCAATGTTTGCTGAGCAATGTACATTTGTTAGAGGATTTAATACTACTATAAATTTGGACTAGAAGCTTTCTTTACCACTAACGGTATCTTCAGGTAGAATTGGTTACCTGTGGTGGCCAATTATAATTCATCTTTTTTTTCTCCACTCCATAGTGTTAAAGCCCAACTGAAGTCTCACACTTGTTTTATCTCTTTTAACAGTGAGTTGTTCTATGCATGCAAATTTAAGTAATGGCCACACCGCTCATCACAAGTGTCCTCATGCAGAGAAATAAAAAGGGGGCGTGTCTGACCAGTCCAATTGCTGAGTGCTGATTACTATGCGCTGGGTCTCATGTTCTGCCTGTTGAACTACACAGCCATACTTAGACACCCTGCGCTCAGAAACCTGCTAAAACCTGTACTCAGAGAAGCACAGGGGATGCCAAGATTGGACTCCCCCTGAAAAGTCAAGTTGTCTGGCTGTCCCTGACCTCAATAGATTCTGATTCATTGACCTGGCGCAAGCATGCAGCTAGTGATGTCAGAACTCCTGGTCTGCATACTTGAGCGGGTAGTTTAGAAAGCTGTAAAGCCTTTGGCTCAACATAAGTAGGGTTCAGCAAAAGCAGTTTGTGTTTTCTACAAGTAATTATAATACAGGTTTCCATAACGCTGAACTCCGGGATAAGCAAATACTGGATGTTCTAAATACAAAAGCCACCATGTGTATTCCAATTTCAATCTTGGTGTCAGAGGTGTAGCTAGAAACCTCAGGGCCTCGGCGCAAGAAACCATGAAGGTACCCAGAATATGAAGATGTAGATGAGCAGGACGCTCTTAAACAAGTTATAACAGGTTTTGTCTGCAGCCTCTGGGACGGAGATGCCATGACTCCACCAATTCTCTGCCAACCAAGCGTCTCACTGTGATCCCTTGGCAGAAACACCCGAGAATTGCCTCCTGTAGTCCGGGAGACAATGTCGACGCCTCAGCGATTACCGGGGCCAGCCGCTCTTCCTCCTTTTCAGGTCCCCCCTCAAATGGTGGAATGCCAGGGCCCGGTCGCACATGCGACTGATGCAATCCTGGTAGTCCCGCCGCCAGTCCTTGGTGTGCTTTGTGTATTTCTTCCAGGTCTGTGCAGTAATTCAGTGTGACACTTTACCTGTGTGTAGTAACTTTCTATAATATAGACCAGTTACTGCATTTCTCTCTCTTTTTGCAGGATGACAGGTCTTGTAGCCGCCCCCTCCTGTAGTTTTCTGCAGCCAGTCTGTATTTGTTGGGGCCTTCTGGGTCCCTCCCATAGCTCTCTGCATAGGCTATGTGCAGCACAGTGATGGTATCAGTGCTACTTTTTTAAGGTGATAGCTGGGTTTGGTGTATACAATGGGGATTTATATCATTTGTGACTATTGAGAAATATGTTTAAATCATTTTTTTTTTGTGTCTGGAATTCAGCTTGAATTGCCTATAAAATACCAAACCTTGGAATAATTTCTGGGAAGATGAACAAAAAGCCCAGATGGTTGCTACAGGCAACAGCTTTACCTTTCTTCCATCTTTTAATATGTGCCTCATGGTTGAGTGGCTGATTGTGTTGCTGTGTGCACAGTGCATGCTGACAAGGCTCTCACCAGGTAATGGAGATCTAGGTGTTCATATTCCTTCTTCAGCTCTGTGTGTTTGATAATATACTCCACCTGCACCTCCTGCTGCCCCCCACATGGCAGGACCTTTTCCAGGGAGTGGAGTTTCAGGAAGCTCTTGCTTTTAGAGTAGAAGGGATATATTGACAGGTGCACTTGTCCATAGTCGGGCCTAATGTAGCCGACCACTAAATCTGGGTTCTTTAGCATTGTTTTTGCCTGTTGAAACATGTTTGTATGTGAGATTACAAGGAAAGATTTGATTCATACAATTGCTCTAGAAAATGTCAGTCCACCCAAAAGTGTTTTCTTTTTTTTGGTATATGCTGGGCAGGATTTCATGTGTCTCAGGAACTCTCAATGCACATTTTAGGTCTGAAGATTACATAACTCTACCCCCCAGTATTATATATTTTCTGAAAGCAGAGACCCTGAAGAATAAAATGGCAGCAATTAATCTGTTTATGTCACATGATATTAGCACAACTGTTATCCTACCCTAATTTTCAGTAAAAAAAATACACTTAAGAATAACTCCAGGAATTAACCAAGTTATCCCTTGCAGTGATGGCATCATTAGGGCTTAGACCACTGGAATCTGGGGGTAGAAGAGGCTGCAGGGAATGACCTAGCAGCCAGACAGTATTGAGGATCAGGTAAGTATCTGGCCTCTTGACCAAAATGAACAGTTAACCCTTGCAGTGCTGGGGTAGCCCCAATGCAATGGTTAATTTGGTTCTTTCTTGGAGTCCTTATTTAAGTTAGCTTTAGTGCACATAAATACAATATATTACACAGTTCTTTGGTAAAATATCAAAGATGGATGAGGTTGCACCAATTAAATAGATACCAAACATGTCAAGCTTTTAAGAGCCGTTCCAGAGCCCGTGGAAGTGGTAGGGTGACTTTACAGCTGTCTGAATCACTTCCATTGTAAAGCCAGTCAGTGTATAACAGACAGGAGTCCACTACCTATGACATACACTACATTGCCAAAAGTATTGGGACGCCAGCCTTTACACGCACATGAACTTTAATGGCATCCCATTCTTAGTCCGTAGGGTTCAATACTGAGCTGGCCCAGCCTTTGCAGCTATAACAGCTTCAACTCTTGTGGGAAGGCGTCCACAAGGTTTAGGAGTGTGTCTATGGGAGTGTTTGACCATTTGTGAGGTCAGGTACTGATGTTGAACGAGAAGACCTGGCTCGCAGTCTCCGCTCTAATTCATCCCAAAGGTGTACTATCGGGTTGAGGTCAGGACTCTGTGCAGGTCAGTCAAGTTTCTCCACCCCAAACTCACTCATCCATGTCTTTATGAACCCTGCTTTGTGCACTGGTGCGCAGTCATGTTGGAACAGGAAGGGGCCATCCCCAAACTGTTCCCACAAATTTGGGAGCATGAAATTGTCCAAAATATCTTGGTATGCTGATGCCTTAAGAGTTCCCTTCACTGGAACTAAGGAGCCAAGACCAACCCCTGAAAAACAACCCCCCCCATAATCCCCCCTCCACCAAACTTTACACTTGGCACAATGCAGTCAGGCAAGTACCGTTCTCCTGGCAACCCGCCAAACCCAGACACGTCCATCGGATTGCCAGACAGAGAAGCGTCTTTGTCACTCCGGTGAACACGTCACCACTTCTCTAGAGTCCAGTGGCGGCGTGCTTTACACCACTGCATCTGGCGCTTTGCATTGGACTTGGTGATTTAAGGCTTATATGCAGCTGCTCGGCCATGGAAACCCATTCCATGACGCTCTCTACGCACTGTTGTTGTGCCAATCTGAAGGCCACACCAAGTTTGGAGGTCGGTAGCTATTGACTCTGTAGACAGTTGGTGACTTTGGCGCACTGTGCACTTCAACATGCGCTGACCCCGCTCTGCCATTTTACGTGGCCTATCAATTTGTGGCTGAGTTACTGTTGTTCCCAGTTGCTTCCACTTTTGTATAATTTAGTAGCAAGGAAATTATTGCACTTATTGCTAGGTGTATTTGGTTGCCCTTCTTTTGAATGGCACCTCCCAGCCACCGTTCACTGCAGCACATGGTATTGCGGTATTGGAGGAGTTTTGGGGTGCCATTAAAAAGAACGGCAACACAACCCACCTAGTACAAGGTATAGTGCAATTGACATAACTTTACCATGTGAATGGGCCCTTAGGCAGAAAGGTTGCTCTCTGCAAAAAATAGAAACAAATTCTACACATACACATAAGTATACATATGAGATTTCCATACCATAAAGTATTTTGTGCCCTCCCAGTCGTTTGTATTTAAGATGAAAACAGCTTTGCCATTGTCGTCTGTCACTGAGGTATCAATAAGCTTTTCTTCTCTGCCGTCTCTACTGTGGAAATAAACTTTCATGCCTTGTTGAGGATTATCATTAACATCTGTCACTTTAACCTGGAATGAAACACAATGAGCTGTAGCGCAAAAGCTTATTCAGAAAGTTGAAAAGTCCATCAATGTCAACCCTCTGCTATCCTGTTGTAATAGTGCTGATTCAGAGGATGCAAAATCCCTACTGAGGCAGGTGCCAAATTTTAATCACAAACAGAGAGGTAAAGTTGAAAACAGATATAAAAAAACGAAATTAATGCTAATAGGTATTTATTACTGATACACCATTAAATTTTTTTTAAATAAGATAACTAGTGTTTGAACCTGAGTTGGCCTTTTGTGTTTCCCTATACAGCATCACTATGGCTGGGAGATGGAGAGGCAGCAGCGGGATCCTATTAGGTGTGTTGCATGTAAATGTATTGACAAGGAATATGCTGTGGGGAGATAGCAGAATGACCAGAGAGACAACCTCATCAGTATACTGCTTCTCCTTCACTGTCAAGTCAACAGGTTAGTGGTTACGGGAAGAACCCACATCTTCAGGGCAAGGAAAAGTTTTCCCTTGCAGTGAGCCCCTTTGCTGCAGCGGTCTAAGGACCGCTGACATCATCGAACACTACAATGCAAGCTCCATAGCACGGCATTGTATGTGAGGATGCTACGGGGCAATCCTGTTTTCAGAGGGCATTCAAGACAAATTGTAGTTGTTCAGGGTACTACATAAGCAGAATTCACATGTCTAAATTTTCTCTATAACATAGCAGGTCAGTACTAAAAAAAAGGGTAACAAAAAAAAAAAGCACGGGGCTATATACAACTCACCACAACATGGTATGGAATCCCAGCCTTGTAGCTATAGTCTGGATCCACATAGGACAACTTGTTGATCACATTGGATACAGTGGTTTGACTGGATGTAGATAACTGAATCTCTGCACAGAAAGGAAAATTAAACCTTGAATGTACTGAACTAAAAAAGAGATTCAAAGATCGATAGTGTACCTGTGTGCTGGAAAGTAGTATAGAATGAAACATACCTGTCCCTTGTTCTGTGATAGAGGCTTCTACCTTCAGTTGGTAATCCATGCCAGTGCTGTTTAATTTAAAGGCTTCTATATTTAGTTCAATAGTTTGGCATCCTGATTTATCCAGCTGAGGATAAGAAGGCACACAATTCAAACAATACAATAGTACCATAACTAAATGAGGCCGCATGAGGTGCATTAATTTTCAGACACCCAATTTCAACTTTCATCAGCCACTTCTGATGTCAGCTGGCAGTTTTTCATCTGAGCAGCTCGCTCATGGTAGTGTAGCGCCTATAGATATGTTAGTGAAGAACTCTCTACGCCTGTTTCACGTGCTTCCCAGAAAGTTCCAGCTACCAGATCTCAGAGATTGAGGACAGAGAGGGACAGTGAAAGTGACAGTGATGAAGAAGATATGTGTCCGAGTTGGATATGGCCTACGGATTCTTTGAATGTCACCCAAAGTGTCACTGATCCTGAGCCACATTCCAGTGCTTTGAGACCAGAAGCTCCGAAATTCATACCTCAGGTTTGTCCAGATGACTCTTAAGAGAATTGTGGTGTGCTCTCTGAGATAGCAGATCCTTTGCCTGATTTACCTGAGTCAGAAGAAACTGTTACCCAACCAGAAGAGGAAAGAGTAGAGTCTCCTCAGTCTCCACCTCTTCTTGCAGGCGATGACCCTGATGAAGGACCTTCCTGGCTTCTAGAATCAAGATCAAAACGACTGGTGCGACCACCGCAGAGACTTACTTATGATATACCTGGTCATAGCACTGAAGAAGCTATAACTACAGTACAAAGATCACCTGAAGTGACTGCTTTATCTGTAAAAGAAGGAGCTAAATTATGCTCAACACAAGCAATCAACACACCTTGGTGGAGATGCCCTTTATCCTCCGGTTTTATTAATCAATATCGTTGTAAGCTTCTCTGCAACGTAAGGCTTGGATCTCAACTGCGGGGATGTGTACGGTTTGATCAGTGGTCGGTCTCGGAGATACTCTCTCAATTGATTAGAGATGTATATGAGACCAGTAACATAATTTAAACCGTAGAAGGGGAAGAAGGTACGTAGCAATTATAGAACCCTGGCAATCACTTGAAATTGGACTATTGCCCCTAGGGGTGAGAGTCTGTACAGCATGAGATTGAAATGATACAGATTTCTCCCTAGTTTGGTTCACAGTGTGTAACAAGACAGCAATGATTTAACTACTTGCAAGCAATGTCTCTTACAGTACCTTTCAGTTACTCTATAGTGATACACTGTATGCTTCAGTCCATACACCCTTTTGAATAGTGCCCAGCAGGGCCAGTAAGATACTTGCAGTTGGTGGTATGTCAGAGGGGATCTCCCTTAGCTTGAGTGCTCTTCCCAGGATGTTGGATGTGTGGGTGCTGGTTGGAGAGGCTCTCCTGTGAGCAGTCCCAGTAGGCTGGTCTCTGGAGATGGTGGGGATCAGGATGCTGTGTCTTTAGTGGAAGCAGGTAGAATGACCTGGTCCCTTGTGCGGTCTGTCGGTACAGAGAGTGAATCGTCCGCGTTCACTGTTACCAACAGTAGGACGCCGACGGTTCGTTTGGCCGCGGCTTAAGGAGCCTGTTGCACGTGCGCCGGAGGGAGCCGCTAACGACCGCCGTGCGCGTGCGCCGGAGGGAGCGCTGAGGTCCGTCGTACGCCTGCGCAGGCCCGGCTTGCAGCCCCGGGACGGAACCGAGTAAGTCCCTTACAATCGTAAATTAGATATAGTTATGCCTAGTTAAATTGTTAGATGAGTGTTTCAAAGACAGGGTATGTCCGCCAAAGCGGATCTTTATTACACCAATTTGCTGGTTCAAATTGTTCTTTGGAGGGACCCAAAGGTCTCAGTGGGGGGAGAGTGTAGCCCCTATATAGATATGTATAAATCTGTGTCTTTTATTTGTTTTCTAACAAAATACATTTTGAGCAAAATCACTCCACTTATTCTTAGGATTCACCTATCATTACTGTTGCTCTTACCTCCCCAATGAATCCAAAACAAATATCTGGTTTCTTCTCAATGTTTCTTGTATGCCATTGGTAATAGTTACGGCATATGCCAACTGTAAATTTACCTTGAACTGGCTTTCCATGTGTGTATCTAAAAGTAAACAAAAACACCATGTGAATACAATCTAACAGACTCATTTTAAAAGTATGACAACCAAACCAGACTGTCACAACAGTGCATATTTTTGAGTAGCCTTCACAGTGGGAGCATCAGTCATAGTACTGAGGCCAGTTACCATAGTAGTAACCAGTCTAAGGCGCCATTCACACCTGAGCGGCTGTCCGTGCGTATTCGGCTGTACGGATATGTGCGGAGCCGCTCTAAACAGAGAATACAATGCTCTTCAATGTGCATTGTTCAGACCATTGCTGGGGGGCCGGGCAGTACGGAAACCCACAGCCCCCCTGAAATAGTGCAAGAACCATCATTTGGCGGATTCCAAACATTCGCAGCTATTTAATAGCCGCAAACGGGCGGCATCCATGCGGATTGATAAATATTAGAGTTTTCTTGTGAATGCAGCATAATTAGGTAAAGCTGGACAAGTCTGCCGTGTCTTGGTTCTGGTCTGAGGTCTGCCGTGTCTTGGTTCTGGTCTGAAGTCTGCCGTGTCTTGGTTTTGGTCTGAGATCTGCCGTGTATTGGTTCTGGTCTGAGGTCGGCCATTTAGCTCCCTTTCCAAATTGCCTATATTGGTCTAGATTCCGAAATAATCCTACCAGTTGCCCCGGAAATTCATCTTTTAGCGAATAGGCCTGCTATTTTAAAAATAGTGTGGAGAAAACATTTGCGTGACACAATGTTTATGCAGGTGGGGCTTGTGGGAGGGGCTTGTATGGGTGGAGCACAAGGGGGCCCCGTAATCTTGCACTGCCCAGGGGCCCCATGTGTTGTCAGTACGCCCCTGATGGTGGACATGACCCTGTACACTTCTTCAGACTCCGATAGCTCTAGGCCTAACTTGTAAGGCATTGTGAGTTCAATATGTTGTTATCTTACTTTAGCCAATTTTTGCAAAAAGAGAGCAAAAAATGTCTTTCAAGAAGAATTCCCCTACAGAGAGACAGGGCAGGAATTATTTTTTTCTACCAAGTCGTTCATTCATCAGGAACAAATGTGCTTTTAAAGTAGTTTTAAAATCTCAAACTTTTTCAATAATGAAACCAGATCAAATAAACGTACATTGCCCAGCAATATATAAATATTTCCCAACCACTTACAGCAATCATGTTTCCAGACAGCTCCATCTCTCCCAGCTTGGCTTCCCTGAACTTCATGCCCAGTCCAAGATGACAAGGAAGAGCTCTGTCTCCGGCAGCTGTCCATCTACTTGCTTGGAGAAGGAAGGGGGGGGAGTGTGAGGGGCACATAGCTTACTGGCACACAGAAGGGTGGCTCCACAGGAGCCTGCAAGGGGAAGAGGTCACCCTAAAACAGCATATCAGGGCCAGTGCTCAGGGGACCAGCTGATTCTGCTGGAAGCTAAAACTTTTAAACATCAAGAAGCAGCATCCATTGTAAGTGATTTAATCAGCATTTAAAATAACTTTAAAAACTTTTAAACTATCTGTTTATAGTGAGACTTACTTGCCGCATACCGGAAAACTGAGACTTTTACTGTCAATCCTGGTGAACTTTGGGAGCCCAAGAATGACCTCAAATTTGGGAAGCACTGTAGAAGTAGAATAGGAAAATGTCAGATTTGACTAGGTTGTACTAACGCGCTATTCCATCTTCCTGGAAAGTGTAGGACACATGCCTGTTAAGATGACTATTATTATTATTATTATTATACAGGATTTATATAGCTACAAGATGGTAAGGAGGGGCCTGCCCCTGAGGGCTTACAATCTAAAAGGGAGGGGCAAGTGATACATAAGGAGGTAGCTGTGTGGGGATGAATTGTTAGGGAACGTGATGGTTCAGTGGTTAGGTTGAGGTGGGATAGGCTTCCCCGAAGAGATGAGTCTTAAGGGTTCGCCTAAAGGCAGTCAGAGTAGGAGATAGACAGACAGGTTGGGGTAAAGGGTTCCAGAGGATGGGAGAGACTCTGGAGAAGTCCTGGATGTGAGCATGGGAGGAGTTGACAAAGGAACTGGAAAGCAGGAGATCTTTTGAAGAGCGGAGGGGACGGTTAGGGTGATACTTTGAGACAAGGTTTGAGATATATCCAGGGGCAGGGTTGCGGATGGCTTTGTAAGTGCTTTTAATATTTTGACTTTTATCCTTTGGGCGAAGATGGTAAGGAGGGGCCTGCCCCTGAGGGCTTACAATCTAAAAGGGAGGGGCAAGTGATACATAAGGAGGTAGCTGTGTGGGGATGAATTGTTAGGGAACGTGATGGTTCAGTGGTTAGGTTGAGGTGGGATAGGCTTCCCCGAAGAGATGAGTCTTAAGGGTTCGCCTAAAGGCAGTCAGAGTAGGAGATAGACAGACAGGTTGGGGTAAAGGGTTCCAGAGGATGGGAGAGACTCTGGAGAAGTCCTGGATGTGAGCATGGGAGGAGTTGACAAAGGAACTGGAAAGCAGGAGATCTTTTGAAGAGCGGAGGGGACGGTTAGGGTGATACTTTGAGACAAGGTTTGAGATATATCCAGGGGCAGGGTTGCGGATGGCTTTGTAAGTGCTTTTAATATTTTGACTTTTATCCTTTGGGCGATTGGAAGCCAGTGTACGTTGTAAGACAGTAGTGACAATGGTTGGTAAATTAGAGATAATTAACACTTACTTCTTCAGAGTTTATTAATCAAGAATATCTGTCTATGCTAATGTCCTTTGGATAAATGGTCTATGACAATGGTAGGCAACCTTGGCACTCCAGCTGTGCTGAAACTAAAGATCCCATCATGCCTCCTCCACTGAGAGTCATGGCTGTTGGAGTCTAGCAATGCTTCATGGGCCTTTTTGGAAATGCACTTTTGTCTGTCACGTTGGACTTAAAGCCAAACTCCAGGCAGGAGAATCTTTCCAGATTTATATAAAAAAAACACACCTCATCTACAAACCTTCATTAATGCAAGCTCTTTTCAACATCTTAAAAACAAGTTTGCTTACATGCCCAATTAGTACAGCTCCTGCTGTACTTCCAGACCACTCCTGCTGCAGTGCTGCAGGATGCTACAGTAGCACCTCCAAATTCCCTTCTCCTCTTTGCCAGTCACAAAACAAGACTGGGTTTGTTTGCTATGTGATTGGCCAGAAGGGGAGGCAGTCAGAAATGGGACCGCAGAGTGAAAGTCTACGAGACCTGCAGTGCTGATGTGTACGAGACTTGCAGTGCTGATGTCTATGGGACCTGCGTCGCTGATGTCTAAGAGACCTGCGTCGCTGATGTCTATGAAACCTGCGTCGCTGATGTCTATGAAACCTGATGTCTATGAGACCTTCATCGCTGATGTCTATGAGACCTTCATTGCTGACGTCTATGAGACCTTCATTGCTGACGTCTATGAGACCTTCATTGCTGACGTCTATGAGACCTTCATTGCTGACGTCTATGAGACCTTCATTGCTGATGTCTATGAGACCCACAGCACTTACAGCCAGAGTGGTCCGGAGGTACAGCAGGAGGCATATAAACAGACTTGTTATTAAGATGCTGAAGAGAGCGTGCAAGAATGAAGGTTTCAATAATGATTATGCGGCGCAGTGGCAGCTTCACTACCTACATTAGGTTTTATTTTTCCATAAGCGCAGATCTATAGATACAAGAATGAAGGTTTGCAAGTTAGGCTAAAGCATGTTCACTGATATAAACCTGTAAAAGTAGAGCTTAAAAAATCATATATTATGAATGTACTACATCCCTAATCTCTTCTGTGCCTAAATGGACACATTTTCATAGGTCACTGATTACAATATTTTGCTTAAATTACAATTTCTTTCTTTCAGAAAGACAACTATGAATGTTCCTCACCATATTCTTCCACACTGAAGGTTTGGACTTTGTCCCCCACCCGGATCGTGTATTCCCCTAGTGGAGGCTCCGAGGAGAGAGAAAAGGAAAACTCCTTGATTCCTTGATTGAGATTCACATTCAGCCACTGACCAATCCGGTTCTTTCCTGGATCCTGAAAAGGCACAAAATGTTTCAAACCACAGCTACCCAATACAACTGTTTTCTGACTAACCAAAACAATTCAAATGGATAATATTTATTTTAGATCACCTTTTTAAAATCATATTCAGATCACAAATTTTTAGATAATTGATATTTAGATCACTTATTTTAAATTCGATCAAACTTCTGGTTGCTTATCAGGTTTCCATAGCTCCTTCATTTAGAGCGACCGTCCCTCTTTCTGCCTCTGTTGTCCCTCTTTTTGGTCTGCTGTGTAGACTAGACATGTAATTTCGTTTAGTTCCGAATGGATATTTGTACGAATTTCGTTAAATTCAAACATTTGGATGCATCCGAATTTCTGAATACTAACATGTCTGAATGCAATCTTATCCGAATGCTCATTTTACGGAAAATCTGATCCATCTGAATTTCTTTCAAAACGAAACTAATTCGGGCATGTGACTGTTCTCTGGCCAATCAGATGGGGGAGGGGGGGTTTGACTCCTGGGGGTTGCATTACAGGCACAGTCATGTAACTTCATTCTGAAGCAAAAAATTGGACAGACTCGAACAAACCAAACCAAATTCTGGATCCAAAATCAGAAAAAATTAAAGAAATAAAAATGCAAATAGATCCAAAACAAAACACATGTTTTTACAGGGTTACGTCTAGTGTAGACCTCTCTAACAATGCTTAACTAATGAAAGGGTTATAATACACAAATCTTTTATCTGCCCCCCAAACTGTTGAAACCTATGTTTAGAAAATGCCAGTATAAAGGAAAAAAATTAAAAAATTCTGGGTTTACCCAGTCATTTTTCTAAACTCTAAGCCCTCGTTCACACCTGAACGTTTTGTAGCGCGTTCTACGCTCGACGAACGCTCTACAAAACGCTCAAATATATAAATCCCATTGTATTCAAAGGGTCTGGTTCACACCTTGGCGTATTTCAGCCCGCCCCTAATGCGCTATAAAACGGCCCACGCCTGAAAAGGTACAGGTACTACTTTGGGCCGTTTTTGTTGCGCGTCTCCATTGGGATACAGCCAAGTAGCCCTCGGAAACGCGCGTTTGTCGCGCAATTTTTTTACCGCGAATTGCGGTAAAAAAACGTGCGACAACCGCGCGACAGATGCGCATATGCAATACGCCTAGGTGTGAACCAGGGCTTAATTCTTTGTATGAATGCTTCCAGCCACTGACCGATCTGGTTCCTTCCTGTTTCCTGAAAGGGTACAGAATGCTTCCACAACTACCCAATACCACAACCACCCAATACAGTTAGCCTTTATTTTCCTAATATTTTTAAAAAAATGTAATTTTAGACATTTTTTCATGATAACCTCCCTGCTGCATCCCATATTTTTTCTTCATTTAGAGCATCTGCTTGTGGCTGTGCTCGCACAACCGCATCATCTGTTCACAGGGATCTGTGAATGGAAGGTCTAACAGAAGGGGCTGGGGGTAAACAATGCAAGAGCCTGGGCACTGCACCCGCAATGCACTGCTCACGGTTGCAATGTTCTGTAGGCTTGAATGCAAAAATCTAATAAATGCACATTTTTATTTTTATGAATGTGGGTGAAATTATTACATTTTTGCAAAAGAAGGACTATGCCTTTACCTACCTAAAGGGTTATACTACACTAAACTTGTAATCTAAACTATTGAAATTATTTATTTATTGCATTTTAATGCAGGGTGGGTGGGAACTTGTTAGATGGCATGAGTCTTCGAGGTCAGTGGATGCACTGCATACCACAGCACTATATTCAATTGATACCCAGCGTTTACTGTCACGGTGGGTGGAGCTTAAGTCCATGGTGGGTGGAACATAAATTACCGCGGGAACCCCAGTAGATTTGGTAAATGTTAGTCATTTCCATGTAGTCACTAATCACACATTACTAGTGGTATCTCCGTCGGGTCAATATACAAAAACCAATTGCTAAAGGATTCGTTATATTTTTTTTTTTACCTGTAATTCTACAACCGGAAACTGTCAAAGAAAAAAAGAGATATTTTTAGATACAGTTACATTTCTTAAAGCTGAACTAAAAGACACAAATTAATGCAGTTCTGTAATCTTTATTACATCTTTGAATTAATTTTTTTTTTTAAATGCAAGCAGTGTAAGTACCTAATTTTGACCTGGTATCAGCCTCTTACAGTCCCTGTGTAGCAGGGCTGTAGTGTGAGAGAAAGAAGCAGTACAGCTGATTTGTTGGCAAGTAACATGCTTATAGAAATAAAAAGCAGAGTGACAGAGATGAGCTCATCACTGTGCTACTCCTCCTTTCACTGTCCAGTAACAGGCTGGAGGCGGGTCCAAGATGACCAGGGCTCATAGGAAGTGGGTTTGTCTTATGGTTTAGCTGATGTCTATGAGACCTTCATTGCTGACGTCTATGAGACCTTCATTGCTGACGTCTATGAGACCTTCATTGCTGACGTCTATGAGACCTTCATTGCTGACGTCTATGAGACCTTCATTGCTGATGTCTATGAGACCCACAGCACTTACAGCCAGAGTGGTCCGGAGGTACAGCAGGAGGCATATAAACAGACTTGTTATTAAGATGCTGAAGAGAGCGTGCAAGAATGAAGGTTTCAATAATGATTATGCGGCGCAGTGGCAGCTTCACTACCTACATTAGGTTTTATTTTTCCATAAGCGCAGATCTATAGATACAAGAATGAAGGTTTGCAAGTTAGGCTAAAGCATGTTCACTGATATAAACCTGTAAAAGTAGAGCTTAAAAAATCATATATTATGAATGTACTACATCCCTAATCTCTTCTGTGCCTAAATGGACACATTTTCATAGGTCACTGATTACAATATTTTGCTTAAATTACAATTTCTTTCTTTCAGAAAGACAACTATGAATGTTCCTCACCATATTCTTCCACACTGAAGGTTTGGACTTTGTCCCCCACCCGGATCGTGTATTCCCCTAGTGGAGGCTCCGAGGAGAGAGAAAAGGAAAACTCCTTGATTCCTTGATTGAGATTCACATTCAGCCACTGACCAATCCGGTTCTTTCCTGGATCCTGAAAAGGCACAAAATGTTTCAAACCACAGCTACCCAATACAACTGTTTTCTGACTAACCAAAACAATTCAAATGGATAATATTTATTTTAGATCACCTTTTTAAAATCATATTCAGATCACAAATTTTTAGATAATTGATATTTAGATCACTTATTTTAAATTCGATCAAACTTCTGGTTGCTTATCAGGTTTCCATAGCTCCTTCATTTAGAGCGACCGTCCCTCTTTCTGCCTCTGTTGTCCCTCTTTTTGGTCTGCTGTGTAGACTAGACATGTAATTTCGTTTAGTTCCGAATGGATATTTGTACGAATTTCGTTAAATTCAAACATTTGGATGCATCCGAATTTCTGAATACTAACATGTCTGAATGCAATCTTATCCGAATGCTCATTTTACGGAAAATCTGATCCATCTGAATTTCTTTCAAAACGAAACTAATTCGGGCATGTGACTGTTCTCTGGCCAATCAGATGGGGGAGGGGGGGTTTGACTCCTGGGGGTTGCATTACAGGCACAGTCATGTAACTTCATTCTGAAGCAAAAAATTGGACAGACTCGAACAAACCAAACCAAATTCTGGATCCAAAATCAGAAAAAATTAAAGAAATAAAAATGCAAATAGATCCAAAACAAAACACATGTTTTTACAGGGTTACGTCTAGTGTAGACCTCTCTAACAATGCTTAACTAATGAAAGGGTTATAATACACAAATCTTTTATCTGCCCCCCAAACTGTTGAAACCTATGTTTAGAAAATGCCAGTATAAAGGAAAAAAATTAAAAAATTCTGGGTTTACCCAGTCATTTTTCTAAACTCTAAGCCCTCGTTCACACCTGAACGTTTTGTAGCGCGTTCTACGCTCGACGAACGCTCTACAAAACGCTCAAATATATAAATCCCATTGTATTCAAAGGGTCTGGTTCACACCTTGGCGTATTTCAGCCCGCCCCTAATGCGCTATAAAACGGCCCACGCCTGAAAAGGTACAGGTACTACTTTGGGCCGTTTTTGTTGCGCGTCTCCATTGGGATACAGCCAAGTAGCCCTCGGAAACGCGCGTTTGTCGCGCAATTTTTTTACCGCGAATTGCGGTAAAAAAACGTGCGACAACCGCGCGACAGATGCGCATATGCAATACGCCTAGGTGTGAACCAGGGCTTAATTCTTTGTATGAATGCTTCCAGCCACTGACCGATCTGGTTCCTTCCTGTTTCCTGAAAGGGTACAGAATGCTTCCACAACTACCCAATACCACAACCACCCAATACAGTTAGCCTTTATTTTCCTAATATTTTTAAAAAAATGTAATTTTAGACATTTTTTCATGATAACCTCCCTGCTGCATCCCATATTTTTTCTTCATTTAGAGCATCTGCTTGTGGCTGTGCTCGCACAACCGCATCATCTGTTCACAGGGATCTGTGAATGGAAGGTCTAACAGAAGGGGCTGGGGGTAAACAATGCAAGAGCCTGGGCACTGCACCCGCAATGCACTGCTCACGGTTGCAATGTTCTGTAGGCTTGAATGCAAAAATCTAATAAATGCACATTTTTATTTTTATGAATGTGGGTGAAATTATTACATTTTTGCAAAAGAAGGACTATGCCTTTACCTACCTAAAGGGTTATACTACACTAAACTTGTAATCTAAACTATTGAAATTATTTATTTATTGCATTTTAATGCAGGGTGGGTGGGAACTTGTTAGATGGCATGAGTCTTCGAGGTCAGTGGATGCACTGCATACCACAGCACTATATTCAATTGATACCCAGCGTTTACTGTCACGGTGGGTGGAGCTTAAGTCCATGGTGGGTGGAACATAAATTACCGCGGGAACCCCAGTAGATTTGGTAAATGTTAGTCATTTCCATGTAGTCACTAATCACACATTACTAGTGGTATCTCCGTCGGGTCAATATACAAAAACCAATTGCTAAAGGATTCGTTATATTTTTTTTTTTACCTGTAATTCTACAACCGGAAACTGTCAAAGAAAAAAAGAGATATTTTTAGATACAGTTACATTTCTTAAAGCTGAACTAAAAGACACAAATTAATGCAGTTCTGTAATCTTTATTACATCTTTGAATTAATTTTTTTTTTTAAATGCAAGCAGTGTAAGTACCTAATTTTGACCTGGTATCAGCCTCTTACAGTCCCTGTGTAGCAGGGCTGTAGTGTGAGAGAAAGAAGCAGTACAGCTGATTTGTTGGCAAGTAACATGCTTATAGAAATAAAAAGCAGAGTGACAGAGATGAGCTCATCACTGTGCTACTCCTCCTTTCACTGTCCAGTAACAGGCTGGAGGCGGGTCCAAGATGACCAGGGCTCATAGGAAGTGGGTTTGTCTTATGGTTTAGATTTAGAGAGACCTTTCATGAGAAAAACATTGAGTCTGCCATTGATGACGTCCTTCTGAAAATGCTAGTTGCCGCTATCCTTTCTTTTAATTGCACACTGACCAGGGATGAGCTGGGCTGGCACCCGATAGGTGAATGAATGCAGACTGACTGGGAGCAACACTACCTTTTGATTACCTGGATGTGGTGCTAATCCTCCTTCTTTAATACTTTAAGCCCCAGGCCCAAAGCAAGAATGCTAAAAACAATGGGGCGGGGGGGG